TAGGTATAATTCAACTATTAATATTAATAGTAATATTATAAAATCTACCCACCCCACCCAAACCTCACATCATTCCATTCCAATACATTTTCTTACCAAACTCTAAAAGTCATTTCCCTCTCCTCTCCACCTCACACTAATTCGACATCACCGCAAATGCTATCGAAGACCATTACTGAGCTAACCACATCACTCATCTCTCTTTCACACATTGACTATGCCAGTGACACCATCGAGCCATTGCAATACTGGCAAAACTGCCATACACTTTGGTCTTGTACGTGTTCACGGTGAGGAGGTCGTGGTGTTCTTCCGGGCTTCTTGCTTATGCCAAGCTAGCTTTTTTTCCTTTTTCATTGGCGTCCGCACTATCGCCTTTGTGCCGTCGACACTTAGTTCGCAGCTGCGTGTGACACTAAGAGCGTCGCTCAATGGCAATCTCAACGTGCGGCGATCTAAGTGGTGGTTGCTATGGTGTTGGTGGTGAGGTGATGGTTTGACCGTGGAGGTGGTGACAACGACAGTGGTGGTGATGGTGATGGTCACAAATGGAGGTGGTGTTGTTGGTGACAACAGTGGTGAGGTAGCAAAGTGTTCAGTTGGTGTGGGATGTGTTGAAAAGTTTGATACCAACTATTGTGTGAGATGTGTTGAAGAGTTTGTGAACTATTTGGTTGATTTGTGACCTTGGTTGATTCGTAAACAAGTATTGTAGACGATGGTGAGATTTTAGGGTGGGGATAGGGTTTTTGTTAATTTGTGACAACTACTTTTGTAATTGTGATCAATTATTTAGTTAATTTCTACCTAGCTATTGGTGTCATTAGTGAGGTAGGGTGAAGAGTGTTTCTAACCAACTATTCTGTTAATTTTGATCAACTAGTTTATATATTATCTAAAAAATCGATAATTTGTTACCAATGGTAATTCACTAATTTGTGACTAAGAAATAACTAGTAACTTACTAATTTGATAATTTGTGACCATTGTGACATTTAAAATTGGTGATTTATATCGTTAAATAAATTGTGACCTATAATTTTTTTGAATTGTGGTCGAGAAATAATTGCTAATCAATTAATTTGATGATATGTGATTAATAAATAATATCATCAAATTAATTGTAACCTATAAGTATGTGATTGTGACCTTAATATATTTAATTAAGAAAAAATATTTTTAATTAGTTATTTATTACCTGGATTTTGAAATTTTAAACTTGTTCTTTTGAAATTAAATTGGTCTATACTTTAAGATTGATATATGATTTTTTCCCAAATATGTATTGTTGTTTTTGCCAAGAAATTTTATGTGGACTTTATATTATAGTTTTGATGGCCCACAACTTCCAACTCTGTGGAGCTCATAAATCCTTTCGTGTGGGCCATCTAATTAGACAAACATTGGCCCACTACGATTTTAACGTCTACAAGTTTGTGGTGTTGCATATCATTTTGTTAAATTGGATTTTGATTATTAGTTCAAATCAGTTCTCTCTCGCCAACAAAATTTTGTAATTTTGAGGTGTCATGGTTTTATGATGTAGAAACACATTAAACCTCACTACAACTTTTAAGTGTCAACATTTTATTGACATGAAAATAAATTATGAATTTTTATTTAATTATGATAAAAAGAAGATTTTGCAGAAGGATGAAGCTTGACAAAAAAAAATTACTTGAGAACTCGTACGTGTAGACGTAGAGAATAGTTAGTTACCAATAATGCTGCTATTTACTTATTTCGATTGTTATAACAACTCGAGGTTTCTATGTTCATGAAGGCCCATTCTTTTAATTTTTTTTTTTAATAATATTTCACTAAATATAAACAAACACCAAAAATATAAAAATTATATCTTCTACTTTTTAATTAGCAGTACTTGTATTTAAGCAATATGCAAAGAGTTAGGATGTGATATGTCAAACAATTAACATAAGTGTCCAACATTTGTCCCGGTTTGTCTGCCATTTTTCAAAAAGCTCTCTTTTTCATTTTTCTTTTTTCATTTTTTTAAAATTTATTTGCAATTACACATTCTTAATTTTATTCTACTTCTTAATCATACATTTCTTAAAAAATCACTATTTTAAAATTCAATTTCCTCAAAAGAGAAAAAAAAAAAAAAAATCTCTTTTTAACGGGTTTCAAATGGGACTCAAACAAAACAACACAAAAATATCTTCATAATTTATTTAATTCAATGTACCTAATATTCGAGTTTGCGCAGGACAAAGGCTAACAGGTGCCGACCAGTCGCAGTGGATCCACGTCAACAGCAAATAGATAAAATTAAAAATTTGTAAGACGGACAGACTCCACCATTCCAGATCTATCCTCGTAGGTTACACATTTTCTCAATTTTCTATTTTATATTTTTGAGTACAAAAGTTTCTTTATTGGATACTCAAGCCTGTATTTGAAATGACTTGAAAAAGATAGGATTTGCATATAGCGTAGCAATCTAAGCAAACTTATATCTTAACACTTCGTAGATTAAATAATTGCATGCAAGAGAACTGGTTTAATCTCGCATGTGTCGGTAATTAGTTATAGCTCTAACTTCAAAAATGTAACCTTGTACGAACATTTTAGTGTTGCTAAATATTTTAGGGTCCATTTGATTGCAAAAATGGAACTGAATTGAATTGAAAACGAATTTCAAGGAATTGAATTGTCTAAAAATTATTTTCCTGAGAATTGTAAATTATTGTATTTGATTGAGATAATTTTTCATGTGGAAAATGTTGAAATAAAAGTGTTTTTTAATCTCCTTTTAGTTTCGTTTTACATAAAAATTGTCAATTAAAGAGATCGATTTTACTGGTATTGTGGATAACATTTGTTTCCATTGCCAACACAAAAAAAAAAAAACAAAAAAACAAAAAATTCAATAAAATCATTTATCTTTTTGTGTTCGTTTGGCTTTGTTTTACATGAAAATTGTCATTTAAAGGAAAATATTTTTTTACAATAATTCTTAGAATTTGTTTCTATTGCCAACCAAAAATAAATAAAAAATCGAAAAAAAAGGGCTACAGTAACCGAGAATTCCAATTCTCACCATTTGAGAATTGGAATTCAAGGAAAACATGAAAATTAGATTAGGTGGCATAAAATGTGAAATTCGAATTCTATGGAAATTTTTGCCAATCAAACAACAAAAAATTGGAAAGATGGAATTTGATTTTTATTTTCCATGGAATTGGGGTGTAATCAAACACAGCCTTAAATTTGTCCTCATATATAAAATCGAATTTTACTTCATAAGTGATGCTTTCAGTGAAGTGTTGAGTTCTTCGGCTTAAGATTACATGTGAACTTAAGTTTATCGTTGAATTAAATTACGTATAAATGTCACGACAATAATTTAATACATAATAATATTACTTTTACAATGGTAGAAGTACTATTTTACCTATCCATATAATATAATAATTATATTATAATTAGAGACGTATAGATTATACAAATTAAGCCTAAGACGATTACACGGCCCTCTCCATCAACGGTAAATACGTAGTTACATAGCTGGCCGAATCCTTTTACTGAGGGCAACTTTCTGAAGGAAAAACCAAATGGAGCGCCCCTCCTTTCTAAATTCTTGCAAAATAAGTGTTAGATATTCCAAAGCATATTCTGTTGATGTTCTCAACTGACATATTCAAACTGTTAGACGTTTTTAAAAATATTAATAAACGCTTAGAGTCAAACATAAAAAAGTAAAATTTCCAAACCAAAAAAGACCGAAACGCAAGACGCCAAGACGCGTTTATTTGGAAATTTTTTTTACTAACTCAACTCAATTTATAGTTCTATTTTATGTTAGTCACTTAAATTCAATTTGTATCAACTCCCACATTTTTATTCAATTTGATCATTATGTTTATATCCGTAATTGTCCGAATTCAAAAACCTGATCAACATCCAATTGGAAATTACTAAGGATTCGTTTGATTACAAAGGTGAAAAAAGCAAACAAATGCCATGTAAGATAGAAAATAAAAAACCACCAAAATTAAAGGAATGCATTTCCCATGAAATTGACCAAAAAACGCTTTGAGTGTTTGTACTTTGGAATTCAAACTTCATTTCCACTTTCGTATCAAATAGTTAAAGTAGAAAATGAATTTTCCATAGAATTCACTCCAATCAAACAGACCCTAATTGATGTGTATTACTTAAGGAAAAGGTGTAGAAAGCAAGTAGAGTGGAGACAATAGAAAAATTCCTCTATCGATTTTGTAGATATTGGCTTTAAAAACTCATGCAACAAAATTAAATGTATATTTGTTGTAGTTAATTTTTTTTTTTATAAGATAATAAAACATACCTTTTTATCTATACACTTAATATGATTCACTACTTACTATACAGAAATTATCAATTTATAAGCGCTTGAAAAAATTATACAGAAATATATATTATCAACACATTATATAGAAATTACAATTTATAAGTGCTCAAAAAAATTTAAACTTTTGCCAATCATGCAATATAAAGACCATCCATCAACAAGGAAAGAAATATTGTTTCATCTTAGTAGTTAGTAGCTTCGTTCTTTCTTCCTTTTTCCCCCTCTTATTTTAACCAATAAGTCTAACGTAGCATTGATGTCACGAGTACTAAAAAAACATAAATATATTTTATTTTAGAAAAATAAGTATTTTACAATGACAAATGATACGCGTGCAAATAATTCAATATCACATATTTGATTAAACGGTCACGAATTTTATTAGTTAGGTCATAAATTCCATCAAATTCGATAATAATTACATACAAAATAGTCAAATTAATATACAAAATAAGTTAAGAAAATAGATTTTCACAATCAACATAAAATAAATCTATAAATTGAATGAGCTAAGGTGAAGTTTTCTCCAAACCGTAACTAACGAAGGTTGGGACGTAATAGTTGGACGGTAACGGCACCGTCAGCACGTTAAATTGGAAAGTAAAACAGTAGAAGAATATCCAAAAGCATATGACGAGTTCAGGCAAAGGAATATTCCACTGGGATGATCTTCTTGAACGATCCAATGCTGCTTAAATACATCCTCACAAATTCCTTCTTCTTCAAAAATTCAAGAATTCCAATCTTAGCCTCTCTTTCTAAACACTCTGTTTACCGTCTCTCTTTAACATGGCTCTTAAGGCCGTGCATGTTTCTGACGTCCCAAAATTTGATCATGTCCCGGAAAATTCATCTTTCTCCCTTTACTCCTCAAGATTTTCCAAAGGTAGATAGTATTTTATGAATTTATGTGTTTATTTCTTTGATTTTTCATTGTTATTTTTTCAAAATTTTGGTGGATTTTTTTATTTATTGTGTTTTGTCGGCGAGTGGCTCAGGAGCGGATGTTGGGAGAGCTTCCTTTAAGCGACCAAAATTTCTGGTGATTGGGCACCGGGGAAATGGGATGAATTTATTACAGTCCACCGATCGGAGAATGAAGGCCGTTAAAGAGAATACAATTCTCTCTTTCAATACCGCCGGAAGTTTCCCCGTTGATTTCGTCGAGTTTGATGTTCAGGTAAATATAATCTGGTGATTTTTTTAAGCTGCGAAGGATTTTACCTTTTTTTTCAAAAAGAACAAAGAAAAAGAAGTGAACGCTTTTGACTCTCTTGAAGTTTTATTGTCGCCTCGTCATACCGTCGCCGCATACGCCAAACTTGGAAAATAGGAAATTACCCAGAAGAGGTCATAAATATTTTGTCCTCATCTATTAGAAACCAAATCTTTTTATACTAATTTGAAAAATTAAATTTACATTTTACTTACAGGATAGAATCCCTTTACATAATTTTCTTGAGGGTTTGAGTTAAAAAACCCATTTGATTCCATTCTTGTAGGTGACAAAAGATGGCTGTCCGATCATTTTCCACGACAACTTCATTTTATCCGAAGAAAACGTGAGTTTTGATTTCTGTTCTGTTACCAAACTCTGTTAAAATATTTGCACCTGTTTTAGCAATTGGTTCTGAGGGCTATGGAATTCTAAATTTTCAGGGTACAGTATACGAAAAGCGAGTTACAGAATTGAATCTATGGGAATTCCTTACCTATGGGGTCCAAGGAGAATCGGGCATGGTCGGGAAAACTTTGTTAAGGAAAACAAAGGATGGGAAGATTGTTGGGTGGAATGTCGAAGACGATGATTCTTCTTGCACTCTACAAGAAGCCTTTCATAAAGTTAATCCTTCTCTCGGATTCAACATCGAATTGAAGTTTGATGATCACATTGTGTATCAAGAAGAATATCTAGTCAGTGTACTCCAAGCGATTTTGCAAGTTACATATGAAAATGCGAAGGAAAGACCAGTTATCTTTTCCACGTTTCAACCAGATGCTGCTTTGCTTATGAAAAAACTTCAGAACACATACCCTGTGAGTACGCTAATTGGATTCCATTGATTTCTTTTACTGGAGAGTGTTCTATGGATCTTAATCACTATATCGTTTACGGATGTATTTACAATGGGGTAGGATGCTGACTTACAGTAAATGTGTCAGGTATTTTTCCTCACAAACGGAGGAAACGAGATTTACTATGATGTAAGAAGGAATTCATTGGAGGAGGCCATCAAACTATGCTTAGAGGGTGGTTTGCAGGGAATTGTTTCGGAAGTCCGAGGCATATTTACAAATCCTGGGACTGTGACAAAGATCAAAGAATCAAAGCTCTCTCTCCTGACATACGGAAAATTAAAGTAAGTGATACTTGTATCCTTGTTATTACTGTAAATATTTGAAGTCTTTGAATACTGATAATTTGCTTCATTTATCTCAGCAATGTGCCTGAAGCCGTGTATATGCAACATTTAATGGGCATCGACGGAGTAATTGTGGATTTAGTTCGAGAAATAACAGAGACTGTTTCCAATATGATGAAGCCATCTGAGGAAGCAGTATCTGGAGAGGGACAAATTCCAGGACAAGGAAAACCTCAATTTTCACAAACGGAATTGACGTTTCTGCTTAAACTGATTCCAGAATTGGTACAACAATGATTCTTTCTGAATGTTTTCTTCAAACTTGAAGAGTATAGGTGGTCTACAATGTTTCTACTTCTGTACAGGAGTTGGTAATCTACGACAGTATGTGTACCATTAACAGTTCACACGTATTTGGTGTCTGGTCTGGACCTTTTTCATCTCGTTGATGGGCAAACTGAAGTCTGTATCTAACAAAATATATGACTTTGGATCGCTGGATGAAAAACCCAAAGATATGAATGCTCACATATTATTTCTCGTAACGTGTCTACCAATCTTGGGCTGTGGTTTAAAAACTCAAAAAGTTGTTAGGAGTTGAATTTTGTGATGAACAAAATGAAAATCAAACTCGATATTTACTGCAAGAAAGAAAAATTGGGGTTGGCACAAACCTATGTTGCACACTGTAAATCACAGGCCGTGACGTAATTGAAGTAAGGAGTGAAGTCAATATGTATAAGTTAGCAGTGGTGATGGAACAAGTTCTGGTGGAGGAAAAATCAATAGTCCTTTTCTTTTTGGAGCACTAAGAAATGGAATTGTGGTCAAGGGAAATGCTTGGAAAACAGGCGGTCTGTCAGGGAAACACCAAAAATAGGGGGTCCTGCACACAAAAAGAAAAAAGAAAAAAGGGACACCCACCTATTGTGGGGTTTCTGTGTTTCCCAAGCATTTCCCTTGTGGTCAAGGAAGAGTGAGGAATTTGACGGTGTTCGTGTAAAACCCACAAGGGCACGGAATCGTTGACAAGTAATAATAAGTGATTGGTTTTGTATTTTTATCGAACAATTTAATTGTTTGATCACCAATTATATAGTAAGTTACTTGTTAAAGTGTAGGAATACTCACAATAAGTCTAGAACGCGGTAAAATCAACACATGGGCAATATGTATTAAGAATAATCTCTATAGCATGTGCAATCATGTATGATAAATCCTGTGAATCAATGTATATTTTTCATATGAATTCGGACTAGGAATATGATCGGGTCGTGTTAAACATATGTTTAATATATCTTGGAAAAGAATATTGAATAAAAGTGAATTGTCGATTGTCTTGAATGCATGAAATTATTTAAATTACAAATTAAGAATTGAAATAAATGGCAATAGGGGGATTCGAGATTCCACTACACTCATTCACATATCAATTTACTACATTTTAATCGCTTTCTTATATTAGGATTAGTATAGAAAAATATTAAACTTTCTTTTGTGTTACGTTAATATCGAATTTGATAGAAACTATCGAACTAGACATTAAACCTTATTCCTCGTGGGACGATAAATTCTTAACTCACTTATTATTACTTGTCAACGATCCAGTGCACTTGCGGGTTTCACACGAACAAATTTTTGGCGCCGTTGTCGGGGAATAAGGTTTAATGTCTAGTTCGATAGTTTCTATCAAATTCGATATTAAATTTTATTCCTCGTGGGACGATAAACTCTTAACTCACTTATATTACTTGTCAACGATCCCGTGTGCTTGCGGGTTTCACACGAACAAGTTTTTGACGTCGTTGCCGTGGAATAACGGATTTAATTTTAGTTTAGTAGTTTATATTAGATTCGTTATTATTATTATTATTTAGTCGTCGTTTTTAGGCTACCATTATACTTTTTAGGCGATTCTAGTTTATGCAAAATCCCGACAAGCCAGATCTATTACCAATAGACCACGAAATTGAAAGGACATTTAAAAATCGTAGAAGAGTACAACGTCTAGCAAGGAGAATGACTGATAATCAAAATCAACAGCAGAATCAGGTTCAGTTTCAAGAGCAAATACCACAGCCAAATCAACAAAGAGCCATCCAGAATGGAGCTCTTATCTTAGTTGGAGATTATGTCAATCCAATTCCTGCACCAGTGCAACCAGCTGTGGTATATCCTCCTTTCGAACAACCTAATTTCCAACTCAGACCAGATGTCATCAATCTGTTTCAAAATCACCAAGACATCAGGTTCTTTGGGAAAGCCACGGAAAATCCTCATGAGCATATTTCTGCTTTTCTCATGTTATGTGAAATAATTAGTCACGAAGGGATATCAGCTGATGCATTTCGAATGCGATTATTTTCTCACACCTTGAAGGATGCTGCTAGAGAATGGTTTATTTGTTTACCACCAGGGAGCATTCAATCATGGAACGATATGGTTCAAAAATTCACGATGAAATTCTTTCCACCTTCTCGAGTTCACCAAATTAGGAATGACGTCCACACTTTCAAGCAAAAAGATTTAGAGAGCTATCTTGAGGCATGAGAGAGGTTCAAATTTTTTTTTCAGAAAATGCCCCAACCTTGACATTCCTAAGCAGGCTCAACAATAGCTCTTCTACCACGGTCTAAAACAGGAGTTCAGAAATATAATAGATGCTTCAGCGGGAGGATCAGTTATGAAACTTGATGTCAATGAGGCCTATGATTTGTATAAAAAAATAGCTGAGAATCAATCGATGTGGCTAATCGATAGGGAAGCTCCAAGGAAAATATTAGGGTTACACAACATGGATGCAGTAACCGCATTGGCCGCGCAAATGGAAGTTCTTACAATCAAAATGGACAATCTGTCTAAATCAATTAATATGGTACACCAATCGCCACCTGTTTGCGAAAGCTGTGGAGCAGATCATGCTAGTACACGCTGCCCTTTGGCATCAACACATGTCAATCAATCCGAAGAAGTAAGCTACGAGCAGAACTTTCAGAGACAGCAAAATAATCTTTTCTCCAACACATATAATCTGGGTTGGAGGAACCATCCAAAATTTTCTTGATCCAATAATCAGGTACAAGAACAAGGAGGAAACAATCAAAATAAACCACCAGGGTTCCAATAGTAACAACAGCAAGGGAGAAAGCCATCGTTGGCTCAATACATTACTAAAATTGAGACCAACTTTCAAAACCAACAAGCCTCAATCAAGAATTTAGAACAACAGGTTGGACAAATTGCAGTCGCACTATCAGGTAGAGCTCAAGGGACATTGCCTAGCAATGCTGAAACAAATCCTAAAGAGCAGGTCAAAGCAATCACTACACGTAGTGGCGTCCAGTTACCAGAAATACATGTAAAGCGGCCAGCAACTATCATAGAAAATGTACCTACCACGGGCGAGGAGCAAGTGGATGAATCAGATGAAGCCACAAAGGAAAATCAAGTTGAGTCATCAGATAGTCCACAGGTGAAGGCAACCGCCCATGTCAAAGCATACGTTCCTCCAATCCCATTTCCATAGAGATTGCAAAAACATAAGCTCGATAAGCAATTTCAGAAATTTTTGAATGTGTTCAAGAAGCTACACATTAATATACCATTTACTGAAACTTTAGCTCAAATGCCCAGCTACGCCAAGTTCATGAAAGATATTCTATCAAATAAGAGAAAGCTGGAGGATAATGAAACAATCATGTTTACTGAGGAGGGTAGCGCAATTCTCCAACACAAATTACCACTGAAACTAAAAGACCCAGAGAGTTTTACTATTCCTTGTAACATTGGTAATTTGTATATAGATGAGGCATTGTATGATTTAAGAGCTAGCATTAATTTAATGCATTTATCTCTTTTTAGGAAACTAGGTTTGGGGGAAGCAAAATCAACAACAGTTTCACTGCAGTTGGCTGACAGGTCGATCAAGCACCCTCGTGGTATTTGTGAAGATATTTTGGTGAAGGTCGATAAGTTTATCTTCCCAGCAGACTTCATTATTCTGGATATGGAGGAAGATAGGGATGTCCCCCTCATATTGGGTCGCCCATTTTTGGCTACGGGAAGGATTATGATAGATGTGCAAAAAGGTTAGTTAATACTGAGATTAAATGAAGAAGAACTGACAATCAACGTGTTTAGAGCTTTCAGATTTCAAAGCGAACCGGATTCTTGCATGCAGATTGATGTAATAAAAGAAGCGGTGTCAGAGACATTTAAACTAGATCACCCTCAAGATCTGCTTGAGTTGTGTTTAGTGCATTCTCAGGATCTACCATCAGAAAAGGAGGAAGCAGAAGAATGTAAAAGTTATTTGGTAGCCATACCACCATTCTTCAAGCAACCACGACTGGAGCTCGGTGAAAGACCCACAACACCTTTACCATCTATAGAACAAGCTCCAGTTCTTGAACTCAAACAACTGCTAACTCATCTTCGTTATGCATACTTAGGGGAAAAGAATTCACTTCCAGTAATTATCTCAAACAATCTTACAGAAGTGGAGGAGGATCGGTTGCTGAGGGTGCTTCGAAAGCATGAGACAGCAATAGGATGGACGATATCGGATATAAAAGGGATCAGCCCTTCACTTTGCATGCATAAGATACTGATGGAAGATGATTACAAAGCTTCAATTGAGCATCAATGCAGATTAAATCCGACTATGCAGGAAGTTGTAAGAAAAGAAGTATTAAAGCTTTTGGATGCCGAGATCATCTATCCCATATCAGACAGCCATTGTGTTAATCTAGTACAGGTCGTACCAAAAAAGTGAGGGATCACGGTGGTTCCAAATGAAAACAATGAGCTCATCCC